GACAGCCCATTCTATTCATTCTATTTGAGTAACATTCTGACCTTGTTAATTATTCGCTTATCAATGTCTTGACTGTCTTTATATGAGCGCGTAGGTGTATGCACACTTCTCATCCCATTACTCATCACATGTCTGTAATTTATTTTTGTGGGCTTATAAATATTGATTAACTCTTTGTTGAAGGAGAGTTGGCTTACCAGCCATCTCCACCGCTCGTCAATTTTGCTTTGCTTTCTCATCTTCGCATCGTTCCTCCGTTCGTTTGTCTAATCAACAATTATACAAAATATATGCATTCAAAACTCCATTCTCGTTATTTGACTTATTTAATTCCGTTATTAACTAACGCGATTTAAGTCAATGATTATATACGAGGATAGACGATAGCAACCAATCATTACGATCAAATTGGAGTCAGATCACGGGCCACTAAAATTTTTTCCTTTTCACCATTGGATTTATCCGGTTGGTCCTAGCCCCCGGGAGACATAAACATTGAAAATTTGTAATCGGTTTTGTCTCCATAGTTTGTTATGAAGAAAAATATTCATATGTTTTACAACTAAATATGTATGTTATTCCTATTCAACAACATTTAATCTGGAATTATATCTTTATCTATTATCTGCCTTTTGATTGTCTGTGAGTCTCGAAATCTGAATTTAGCAGTCACATTAGAGTAAATCCAAAAGTTCACTAAATTAGTATTACTTATGATCCAGAACATATTGGTAGAATATAGAGAACGACTATACCATCACATGAGCCGATCTATGTAATAAACCTATCGACCAACTTATTGAATAAGCTGGGTATAGGAACCCTTTATGTCTGTTCATTTATATAGAAATTAAGTTCGCAGCGTTTGTCCGTATATTTTTCCGGGTCGTTTGCTTACTGTGGTTGCAGCATGACAAGGAAAACAAAAATTAAAATGACAATATTGTTCATTAGTAAAAATAACTTGTAGGCCTGAAATTTATCATTTGACATGAAATTGTGGTTTGTGGTTGTTATTCATAAAGTCTTTGTCCCTCTGTGAAATCGCTGTTCTTCCTAGCCTTTTGGATCAGAGGGTCGGTAGCAGAAGCATGCACAAATTTTCAATGTTGACTTTCTGTGTATCGTTCGAGAAACTACTGAAGTCACCCTAGACATTGGTGAAATTCAGAAAATCACTCAACGTCCGGCATTCTAAAGTAGATAGCACAATTTGATGGATAGTTTAATTAGGGTTTGATGGCACCGTGTTTTGAGTTTTGGTTCTGGTAACGCAAGGTAGTGTCGAGCCAGACCAACCTAGATGCGTGGGTTTACTGAGTTTTAAGGGTGAAAATGTACTAGATGGTGGTCGAAGAGGCTCATGTGGACAACTTTGATATTCACCATTAATACAGGAAGTTAGGTGTCGGAGTGTTAGGCTGTGAAATCTCTGGAGGCTACAAAACGAAACAGTAACCAAATACAGAGGTGCAATATTTCAACCCGGAGTACTTTTACATAGAGGTGCATTATCAACTACAAATCATCTCAAGTGACACGTAAAAATAATACTGCTTTGTATGACAAAAAGAGCTAGAAAGGTGTCAGGATTGCCGTCGAAATTCAAAGCCATGAAAAGTATACTAATGAATGCGGAAGTTAAGATAGATAGAAATGGTATTATTAAGTGTAATATACGGACTTGTAATTCACAAGTTTGTTTATTATGCACTTTGGTGTTCATAAAAGTACAGTAAACGCACCTGAAATTTTCATATTATAATTCTAACTGAATACTCAATAATACAAGAAGTAATTACTATTTTGTACAAACGTCACAAGAATTAAGCAACTATGAACTTATATATCGACTCTATTATCCTAACAACTGGTCATATAGCCTACTCCACCTGTTTGTTATTAAGCGAATTGAGATATTGGCAAGTATTTCAGTTTGAACGCAGAAAACAATCCAGGAAAATCAAGATCAGTTTGGCTGAGTTGAACCACTGGGTTCTTTTGTATAGGGTAAAAAGTGTTTCTGAGTTGTCTTCCGTTATCAACAATATGAGAACAAGAATATTTGCTGTACTATTAAATAAAAAAACACATCAAAATGCAGAATATTATAATAATGGAGCTGACCTAATATAAAGTTCCCCTGGTGCGAAACAAAGTACTGGTCAGCGACGAATGATTAAAAAATACAGCTTTTAAGTGCCAGGGAGTTTAAAAGAATGCTTCAACAATATTAGAACGAATTTGTGTCTATAAAGATCGAATCAAACTTGAAAGACAGTCAAAGAGTAACAACAAGCAATCTTTTCTCGCTTTAGGGTTGGTTTCGGTCAAACAAGACCTAATTGTCAAAAACTCAACATCATGGAATAACAAAATCGAATAATGAAGGCGAACGTTAACTTAAGTCAAGTGAACTATGGTTGTTGTGTTTGGCCAAATCGAGGTAGAACATGAAGAATTGCACAAGATCTTAGAAATATGGGTTTTATAGTACCAGCTAGCTCATTATTAAGAAATTAATTATGAAACTGGATACAACGACAATAACTTTTAGCATAACTTCAAATGATTAGAAACTCTGACTGGTTCTGGCTTCACATTTGGTCGTATCATTCTGATATTCAGAGAATCTTAACAGCCTTAACCAACCACGACAATATTATAGCGTAACAGAGGTTATCGATCTCCATCAGATGGCTGGAGTTGCAGAAAATATCAGTTTGAGATAAATATATGTATACGTCGGGCTATGTTTTTCAGTTCCTTCAAGAGAAAGATTGTACAGTAAAGGTAGTTTAAACTTATCCTCAATTTCTCAAAGGCATTTGACACAGTAATTATGTACTTTTCATAGCGAGGGTTGGGTTTTACTGGCCCACTTTTATCCTGGGTCCGAAACTACTTTGAGAACAGGATGTTTCGTTTCAGGGTAAATTGAGTGTACAGGAGTTGGAGGGTCTCAACACAAGGAGGAATCATAGGTCCACTCCTGTTCTTGATCGTTATTAACAAACAGTTATATAACATCAACTTGACAGCACTGATCTATGCAAACAACACAATGATTTAGAGGCCGGTAAAAAGCGAAAACGACTCACCCGAGCTTTAAACGTGCCCTACAGTAATGGAAAGACGGGTGGTATACGATGAGTTAAAACTGTTGAAATATCATGTTATGAGCATTCCGCACCATTTTGAGTGAAACACTTACACCTTCCATCCATCCCGATTGTCCCTTCAGAGTGTGATTTCTGTTTCACAACCACATAAACCTCAGACACCAGCTCAATCTATTTGGAGGTGCAGTCATCGGGTACGCAACATTCCACTTTATGCGTAGACAACTTGGTGCAATTGTATATATTTATCTTTGCTACTATAATAATAGACCCTTTCCCAAAATTGTAGGTTTGTCGTGATGTGACTACCTAATCTACGAGGTTTTATATAAAAGTCACACCATAGTCTACACTGACTCGTCCTATCATGACAATCAGCAGTATGACGTCTACCACTTCTGAAAAAAACGTTTGAACTGGGAAGAGAGTGATATATTTGATACGAAAAGCAAGAGGTTATGTACAGTGACCAAGTTTGCACTACCGGGTCATTCCATTTTGACTAATTATTCTCGCATTCATCATTTTTGACTTTCTCTTAGTGTTACATATTTAATTTAATTCATTTCAGTAACTATATGCTCTGCTTCAAAAATCATGTGGTTAGGAGCCAATACCCCGACTCATTCATCTCAGTCGTTCCAAACACTGTTTAACACGAACTCATCACTTCACCTTGAAATCCACAACTTCGTTGTATTTCCTCTTAGACAAAGTTCAGAGATAGGTAACCAAGAGGGTGATAGAGCTAAAACTTAAACCACATTAGGACCAACTCCAACGTCTACGATTATCCTCTTTTAAATACGGGAGAATAAGAGGTGATCCGACGATGGCATACAACGTGTAAAGTACGCCAAGCCACCCCAACATGAGCATATAACTATGTAAATCACCAGCGTAGATGATCTACAACTAGAACGTCATCAACTCGTTCCTCAAGCAACCCTCGAAAGATTGCACATTGAGGAGTGAACACCGGAGTGCCTCCATTTGGAATGTCCTCCCATCCGGAGCGACCATGGCCTCATGAAATAATAGTTTTAAGGAGAGACTCCATAAACACTTAACCACTGATGGAACACAATGTCCCTGTTGAATAAGCTCTTCTTGATGCATGCCTCATTAATTACCACAGTTATCGCTACTACATATTAATACTACTTCCCATCTCACTTATTATTATCGTTTCCCGTCTTGTGACCTCAACTCCATCTTCTTACGTAACACGAGTTAACTAACTTATTATTTTACTCTCAGCCTCCGAATTATCGATTTTTTGTTCCCAAATTCTAACTATCCAGTCTTCTGTCTGGTAATATGATAGCTTTTGGTATCCTGAAACTCTGCAGTTTTGGGACAAATGCATTCAGTCAAACTACAAAATATACAAATCCGCAAATAACTATAAAACTGCTTAAAGTTAGTGCAGTCGAGTGGCTAGACCGACAGTCATCGAAAATTACCGAATACCCGGGACCGCATAGAAACGATAAGACACGAACGCGAATGTGTCAACCGGTTTATAAAAGATCGTTACAAAAATATTTCAGAATACGTATTTATTATACTTTACCAAAACTAGGAAGGTAACCAGAATAGTTTATCAACTAATATCACAAGAAGTTTCGTTAAACACTACAGATGTTGCTATAAAAGATTGGAAGAATATAACATCGTAGGCTATTACTCTGTATCGGCAAATCAAAATGTTACTACCAGCTGTGTACACTGACTGTATTTGAATCGCTCAAGAGTTTAAAAAATCGGTAAAAATGTCTTGAATAATTATTGCAGTTTCTCAAGCAATCAAAAGCGATTTAAATATTGGACTTCAATCTGATAGTCAGTGTGTTCTTTTTGATCACAAAGAAACCTAATGGCATGGCTACGTAAAGCCGGGTTAATCAAATATGGGTCTTGATTATTACCAGTTACTAAATATACCTCGAAGTGCTGACCATGCAGAGATATGCAAGGCGTGAGATTTATTTGAATCAGTAACATCATATCCTTTCTTCTCGTTTAGTAGCGATTTTACTTAAAACTGTTGTGCTGAAATATTAATTTATCCGTAATTGCAGAGAATGTCCAGCTACGTTGTGTGACACATGCACTCAGTTTATCATATATCTAAAATTTAAGATATAATCGAACCCAAGCAGGGTTAAACGTGTGTTTAGTGGCACCATTTTTGCGTTTTATGTAAATAATTCCAACTTTTTTCAATGAGCTATAGATAGTAATTATACACTTTCATTCCGCAAGCAAATCACCTTTAAATTATGTTGCTCACATTATTCTTGTTCCCTTATTTATCAGTGATAGTCTATAAACGCCACCTGAACACTTATTGAAAGCTGCTCTGTCAATCCTAAGTAATACCCACTATTTGAGACTCAATATGTTGAACCATCACTTGTTTGATATTACCAGGCAATTTTTAGTGGACATCACCTAGAGGGTCCAATAAGTTATCAAAACATTTTGATATCATAAAAACGAATCAACTTATTTTCTGATTCAGATTCAACGTGCTCTTTTTTCAAATGCTTTTTTTAAATGAAGTTACCGAAGACTAGCTTTACGCTATCATCCTTGCTGCGCCCAACCTGGAGAAGACTTTAGTGAATGCTTTTCGGCCATCTCAGAGGCCTACGATGTCCTGTCAGACTTAAAAAGGAAGGCAATTTATGACCGATTTGGAGAAGAAGGTTTGAAAGGTGGTGCACCAATTAATTCAGAATGGACGAAGCCCTATGTATATCATGGAGATGCACACAAAACGTTCATGTCTTTCTTTGGAACAGATAATCCTTTCAACCGTAATTTTTTAAATTTCTTTGCCATCATTTTAACAATCAGGATTTCAGGAAGAAATGGACTCACAAGTTGAACATAACTTCGGAGGTTTTAACGGTCGTGGTCGTCCTCATCAAGACCCACCAATTGAACGTGAAATGTCTCTGACCCTCGAAGAGATCTACAATGGATGTACTAAAAAGATGAAGATTTCCCGCCGAGTAAGAAAAGTCTCACTGAAAGCTTGGTATCATTTATTCACATTTTGATTCGAATGAAAGTTCTTTAAATAATGCAAGGGAAAAACATACTTCCAGGTAATTTCATATGCTTGTAAGAGTTAGATAATTAGTAGAGATTAAAAAAGATGGATTAACTAGTCGATTTAATCCGAAACATCAACACAACAAGATCTGTACTCTAAATCGGACCCTAACGCCTCTTCCTCGTCAGTCAGCCATGTGTAACGTAGAAGTTGAAATATATGTGAGTCGGTTTGAATCATCATACCACATTAGCAAAGTGATACAAAATTATCAGGCAAAACTCCAGAGTAGTATCAGTAGAAACATCATGCTAACTACAGTCTTCTTAACTGATATGTACCATATCGATTTATTCGCAGTTACGTTTAACACATCTTCAACTGATTACTATAAAATAAAGTAAATAGAAGTTTTTCATCTTCATATCTATTATACTTGCGTCTATAATTACATTTTTTGGCTGGTATATCATTCTTACTCGGCTTTTTAAAGTGAGCGTACATTTGTCATTATGTATATCACTATTAGTTCCTTATTTAAAGGGTTTTACGAGTTACTGAGTGAAAACTACCTTTATGAAACAATCAGTTAGATTTACAATTAAATTTTCATCATGGTATTGAAAATTAAATTTACGAAATTTTACTTTTTCGAAGATAATGAATGAAGACGGACACACAAGTAGCATCAAGGATAAAATACTTTCATTGACTGTTTTTCCTGGATGGCATGAAGGCACTCGTATCACGTTTCCCAAGGAAGGTGATCAAGGTCCAAATACAATTCCAGGTAAGGGTTTTACCTCTAACTAACTTTTTTGTTTTACCTAATCTGCTAATTTTCATACACTCTAATCCGAAAATTATTATTCATGTGTGGTTATTTAATGGTTTTTTGGTCTGTTTTAGAATCGTAGTAATTTATTTAATATCACTATGATGCTGAATGGTATTTGTAAAACTCCTTTATATGTAGTGCTTCTCAACGGTCAACGAATTCACTGTTATGATATTTGTGTCTGCTGAAGCGCAAACGTCTGTGGACTAAATTTGTAACCCAACTTTCAGGTTGGCGTACAATACCTGCGACAGATCAACATAAACAATGTCGGATCCACAAAAAATACTTTTGAATCCAAGTTGTTGCATTTATCACTAGTACAGTAAAATATTGTAAGTGGGATGAAAAACATAAATGAAGCTGTTAATAACACTAGTAGTAAAAGCCTAAGAATAATAAATATGGTTCAAAATGATCAAACTCGACGACTAATCTTGAACCATCATTTTGCGGGAAAGGCATTTTATATCTTCAAATGACGGAACTATGCCACCTGTATACTTTAATGCGATAAAAGACCCCGTATATTAGAAGTCGATACCTGAAACTTCATATTATAAGCTTGTGAAAAATAAATGTTCAGAATTGGTTAGTCCAAAAAAGTATGATCCAACAAAGGAAAATTCATTTAGATTATTACTAATGATGTTGTCATGATGTAAGTATCTTGCATTAAAATTATCCTGCTAAAAAATTTCTGTAGATGTCATATATACTCATAGCAAACATTATACCTAGTGGCGCTTGCTAATTCTCTGTAAATTGAAGTAAAATATTCCGTGACTTTAAACTTTTGAGGTTTTTCTAAAGATATATACGAAATTCTCCCAAAATGATGCTGATATTTTAGTTTCACTTTTATACAGGGATATTTACCATCTAATTTTGTAGTTCAGATAAATCAAATCAAATATAATACAAAGTATGTTGTTTAGGTTAGGGCAATCTTCATCGATGATCAAATTTACTTTGAAGACAGATTTAAGTATTTATTGTCTCCGAGGTAAACTCTGGTTATTAAAAGTAGACAACCCTTCTGAAAGGCGAACCATCTTTTCCTATGACTTCTTGAGTTGATTCCACGTTATCTTAACTATTTTTCCTTTTCACAGTTGAAATAACGAGTCGACCTAAGCCAGATCGCTATTAGAACTTCAGAAGCACTGGAGGGCCGTTTCGTCTCAGTACGGGACTCCTCAAAAGTGCTCATCCACGATCCCTCACGCAGGACGCGAACCCATGTCCTTTGGTTTCGCTCGTGAACGCTTATCCTCTAGACCTCTGAGCCAGTATCTAACGGTGTTAACGTCTGATATCAATCGATCCATGAACTTGCGCAATCCTTCGTCCATTGTTTGAGATAGATAACCGTCTCACCCAACCAGTGCTTCCAGGCTTTCATTGATGGTCTAGCTTAGATCGACTCATGATTTCAACTGTGAAAATACTGCAATCTCCACAAATCCCCATACTCATATTTTTCTTCTTTCCCTTCCATAGCTGATATTGTATTTATTTTACGTGATCATCCACATAAACATTTTAAGCGTGAAGGAACTGATTTAATATTTACTTCACCAGTGCCATTGGGCCAAGCTTTATTAGGTTGTATTGTAGATGTCCCTACATTAGACGGAAGGTTGTTACATGTTCCAATCACGGAAATCATTCAGTAAGTTAAATATAACTTTTATTACTTCATTTATTATAATTTATTTTACTACAACTAATTGTTTCGGGTGTTTACAGTATTGTTTCATTATTACTAGTTAACAATCAATTTTGTTAGAAGGTGGGAAATATATAACTCAGTAATTTAGTTACAATTATTAGTTTAAACAACTAGTCTAGCCTCATTGTAAGTTGTATACATACATCAAATTACTGGTTATGTCAAGTGTTGTTCAGTTTTGGGTTTTAAGCGTTATTTAAACCCTAACTCTTCAGGCTGGGCTATTTCGTTTACTACCCTACATATGTGTTGTATGCAGTATAAACTATATGGCTATATAGAGCTGAAGGTCTCATATGAGACTGGAGGTTTGCCATTGATATTGTGGATAGTTCGGGATTGCTTTGGCAATTCTTGCTAACTGTTCAAGCGCAAAATTGGTTTACTGGTTAACCGACTTCATTCATACTGGTGGTTGCTCTTCAGTGTTCTCAAGGGCCATTGTGAGGCATGTCGCCATTGCTAGCATCAATGAGTTTGACTGTCGTGTAAGCAGAATAGGTCAACTTTGGCCTGTTCGTGCTGTGTATAATTGGTTCACGCGATCATTGATCGGAATAACTATACATGTGACGTGATTGTGTGTATGAATGGTGCGAATGGTCCGCCAGGGTTCTTGGTACCTGTGTGGTTGCGCCACAGGATTGAGCTGTACTATTCGGATTGCATCGTTAAGGCCTATACTGTGTTTGGTCCTCCTGTGAAGCGGGATTGAGCTGTACTGCTCGGATTATAAAATTTAAGCCTGGGCGGTGTCTGGCTCTTCTGTTAAACGGGATTGAGCTGTACTGTTTGGGTTGTCACGTGAAAGTCTGGATGGTGTCTGGTTCTCCTGAAAACCAATGTAAAATTACTCTGGCTCAGGAGGGTATATTATATAACTTATTATATAACTATAAACTCCGCCTGAAGCTCTTCTAGAGTTACTGCCGGTTTCAAGCCCGGGTAAAAGAGGAGGGTTGGGCATGGGGTTAGCGACCCCATCCCGTAGAAAACTAACTCGCTAAAAAAACGCTAACCGGAAAAAATAACCCAAACAATTTAAACTCTGCCCTGGGAGTTAGAAAGTCTTCATTTAGAAGAAATATGACGCCTCATGGTGAAAGCCGAGTTCCTTGGGAAGCCATAAGGCCGATGTCCCTTCTAACAACCAAAGCAACAATTTTTATAGGTACATGGGAGACCGGTAAGACCAGTCAAATAGCAACGGAAATGAGGAGATACAACTTGGCAGTACTGGGAATCAGCGAAACCCATTGGACCCAAGCTGGACAACAAAGGCTAAATACGAGAGAGATGCTGCTATGCTCCGGTCACGAAAAGGAAAATTCTCCACACACTCAAGGAGTTGCTCTAATGCTGTCCAAAGTAGCACGAAATGCACCTGTTGGATGGGAATCTCACGGATCCAGAATCATCAAAGCATCATGTAATACAAAGAAGGAGGGGATCACAATGAATATTATTTAATGTTATGTACCCACCACTGATAGCAACGACGACAATAAAGATCAATTATATGAGAGGCTGCAATCAATCATTAAGAAGTGCCCAAGAAAGGACCTCACTATTCTGATGGGAGATCTAAACGCCAAAGTTGGAATAGACAACACCGTATATGAAGATATCATGGGACTACATGGACTGGGAGAGAGAAACGAAAACGGGGGAAGATTTGCAAATCTGTGTGCATTCAAAAAATTGGTCATAGACGGAACAATATTTCCACACAAACGTATACACAAAGCTACATGGATCTCACCGGACCACACCACAGATAACCAGATAGATCATATTTGCATCAATAAAAAGTTCCAAAGGACAATGGAAGATGTGAGAACCAGGAGAGGAGCGGATATAGCTTCAGATCACCACCTGGTTGTAGCCAATTTAAAACTGAAGCTAAAGAAGAACTGGACAACTGGACAAACAGCACTACAAAGGTTCAATACAGCCTTCCTTCGAGATACTGACAAACTCAATGAATTCAAGATAGCTCTCAACAACAGGTTCTAAGCCTTACAGGATCTACTGAAGGAAGAAGAAACTACTATGGAGGATAAGTGGAAAGGTATGAAAGAAGCATTAACTTCAACGTGTCAAGAGGTTCTGGGCTTCAAGAAGCATCATCACAGGGAATGGATCTCTATAGAAACACTGGACAGGATCAAAGAAAGGAAGAACAAGAAGATAGCAATTAACAACAGCCGAACACGAGAAGAGAAAGTCCAAGCACAAGCTGAGTGCATAGAAGCAAACAAGCAAGTGAAGAAGAGCATTAGAGCCGATAAACAGAAATACATGGAAGAACTAGCAACGACGGCGGAAAAAGCTGCAAGAGAAGGAAATATGAAACAGCTTTGCGATACAACGAAGAAACTAGCAGGGAAATATAGTAAACCAGAGAGACCAGTCAAAGACAAAGAAGGAAGGCCAATCACTGAAATTCAACAACAGAGGAACAGATGGTCAGAGTACTTCGAGGAACTCCTGAATAGGCCAGCTCCAGTGAATCCACCGGACATCAAAGTAGCACACACAGATCTTCCTATAGATGTCAATCCACCAACGACGGAAGAAATCAGACAAATCAAGAGCGAGAAAGCAGCAGGACCCGACAATATACCAGCTGAAGCACTGAAGTCAGACATCAAAGTAACTACGAACATGCTTCATCTTATATTCAAGAAGATTTGGCAGGACGAACAAGTGCCGATGGACTGGAAGGAAGGACACCTCATCAAGATTCCAAAGAAAGGAGATCTGAGCAAGTGTGAAAACTACAGAGGCATCACACTGCTGTCAGTACCAGGAAAAGTCTTTAACAGAGTGTTGCTGAACCGGATGAAAGAAGCAGTAGACGCTCAACTTCGAGATCAACAAGCTGGATTCCGTAAGGACCGGTCGTGCACAGACCAGATTGCGACACTACGGATCATCGTCGAACAATCAGTTAAGTGGAATTCGTCACTGTACATCAACTTCATTGATTATGAAAAGGCATTAGACAGTGTAGGTAGGAGAACGTTATGGAAACTTCTTCGATACTACGGAGTTCCTGAGAAGATTGTCAACATTATCCGGAACTCATATGATGGACTACAGTGCAAAGTAGTGCATGGGAGACAACTGACAGATGCATTCCAAGTAAGGACCGGAGTCAGACAACTCTGTCTACTCTCTCCCTTCCTCTTTCTTCTGGTGGTCGACTGGATTATGAAGACCTCGACATCTGAGGGAAAACACGGCATACAATGGACAGCTCAGAACCAATTAGGCGATTTGGACTTCGCAGATGACCTGGCCCTCCTATCGCATACACACGAACAAATGCAGATAAAGACAGCAAGCGTAGCAGCAGTCTCTGAATCAGTAGGCCTCCACATACACTAGGGGAAAACCAAGGTCCTCAAACACAACACGGAGAACAGCAATCCAATCACTCTTGATGGCGAAACTCTGGAAGAGGTAGAATTCTTCACATACCTGGGAAGCATCATCGATGAACAAGGAGGTACAGATGCAGACGTAAAGGCGAGGATTGGCAAAGCAAGGGCCGCACTCCTTCAATTAAAGAACATATGGAACTCAAAACAACTTTCAACCAATATCAAAGTCAAGATCTTCAATACGAACGTCAAGGCAGTTCTACGGAGCTGAAACTTAGAGAACTACAACAACCACCATCAAGAAGGTACAAGTATTTATCAATAGCTGTCTGCGCAAGATACTCAACATCCATTGGTCGGATACCATCAGCAACAGCCTTTTGTGGGAAAGAACAAATCAACTTCCAGCTGAAGAGGAAATTAGGAAAAGACGGTGGAAATGGATAGAACATACATTACGCAAATCATCAAACTGCATCATGAGGCAAGCCTTAACTTGGAATCTTGAAGGTAAGCGGAAAAGAGGAAGGCCAAAGAAAACATTACGTCGGGAAATAGAAGCGGATATGAAAAGGCTGAATAAGAAGTGGAAAGGATTGCCCAGGACAGGGTTGGATGGAGAATGCTGGTGAGCGGCCTATGCTCTTTCACGAGGAGTAAGCAAGTAATATAACTATAGTTGTTCAGTTTAGAGAATCCAGATTTGAGTATTGGCCGGATAAATAAATGAGACATTACTCAGTGTATTTTAGTATGTTTGCTAATCAGCTGTTGCATCAGTTGTGGATTTATCGTCCTTGCATCACAAGCCTTCATCTACAGTCTTCTTTTCTGCTTCGCACTAAGCTGCATTGGTCTTTGTTCATTTGTAACAAGTAGTCATAGCAATCATTTATAAATATTTTCTTTTTTTATCTCTACTTCATTATAGAAATTCGACATAGAATTAACGAATAATACCAATAATGTACTTTTTTAGGGCTAAATAAGACAAAAATTCACCATGACGATATCTTGTAGAGTAAGAAAAGTTAAATATCAGCATGTTAAGAAAAAAATTTCATGAAGAATAAAGTTTTAGCGAAGAATCAAAAACACTGATGTTCAGTTTGGTACCCAGTGTAGTTTCCACTGTGCAGAAATAAACTTTCTCATTGTCTGTATACTAGAATTATAATATAATGTAGTAATTTTATATCACGGACTGATTTTAATTAGGTAACTATCGCAAATCAGTAAGCACTAGACAGTTGTCTCGTTATAGAAGGCGACTTCGTTAACAGCATAGATAAACCACCTTACTAGGGGTCGAACCCAGAACCATCAGGTCTGGAGGCGATCGCCTAACCCTTTTAACACACGTAGTTTCTCACATTTCTAACTTTTATCAGTCTGCGATATTATGTGACCATAATCCGTTGTCACTGGCGATATTCGTCTCACTCTCTATATAACAGGACTCTACTCGTTACCGCTTCAGACTTGGAGCAATATAAACATAATTTTTGTATCAATCATAGGTTAACTACCTTTATTCAGACAAATCACAGTATAAAATAAGTATAATTTCTTTTGGATTGTACTGATTAGAAATATTTTTATCTGGCTAAATAGTATTGTTTTGTCATCCAGTCATTCATAAAACCGGATGCTGTTTGCAAATAAGAAAGAATTGGTTATAGCATCACCTCGTTGCCCAATATGTATATTGAGAAAACTAGTCTTTTTTTTCCTTTATATCTTATATGTACGTAATTAAACATTCAAACTAGACGAACACTGCAAACTTACAATTTTAAGTGGCTAACACATAATATCATAAAGAATGAGTTCAGATCTAATTTTTCTCGCTGTTTACTTTAAATTTATTGATAAAATTCACTATTACAATCAACGGTCATAATTTCTGCATTCAGAATTGTTCATTATAAAATACGTATATGGATAGTGTTTTGGAAAATGATAAAATATGTAGAGGTTTCGATAGTTGAATGTGTTCAATGCAATTGGTCTTTGAATCCACAAGTAATTCGTTCTCTCCAAATCAGGATTTAAAAAGAGGATCAATTCATCTTAATTTGTGGTCATTTTTTCTGTATAAAAAATGATTTTCAACACATTAAAGATATTAAAAATGGTTTCCGAAGATTCAGAAGTACATAATTTAAAGCATATATTCTCAATAAAAGAAGTAACATTAGTGTATGTATTCTTTTACTACATAATTTCTGGTCTCGATGTTTTGATTGAAAATTATATGCAAGAGTTAATTACTAAAGATTGCAGATTTTGGATAGTAGAAGTAATTAGAAAAAGGTTTGCACAGTAAATTATACGTTTCAAAATAGATTGAATCAGAAAATGAAATTATTTGAAGAGTTACCGAAAATTAAATGATCGTTAGGGTTCCGTTTTAGCTTGATTTAAGCCACATCAAAAGTTCTCATTTTAAATATTATGTCTTATCCAACAAACCCTAGATGTTAGATTCCATTCAAAAGACTCACCAATAATATGATCACTATAATAGATGACACTGCTAGTTTAGGTCTAATAAGAGTTATAGAGGTCACATTATTACATGATTTAAAATTCATGTATCCGACTTGAGTAGTATCTCCTAGTTGCAGTTTTTCTGTAGGTCACACTCATCAATGACTCAAATAACAACCTTGGATAGTTCAAAATTAAATTGTTCATTTTATAAAAATAAATTACTTTCTTTATTGATGTACTATGTTCATAAATCTTTCTGTCTTTGGAAAACATGGATTTTATAGTCCCAACTATGAAAAAGTAGTGCCAGGTGAAGGCATGCCACTACCTGATAATCCAGAGAAGAAAGGAGATTTACGAATTCGATTCAATATTCAATTTCCAAAAAAATTAAGTGGCGATCAGAAGTTAAATATTGAAAGAGCATTTTTTGGATAATTTTACTGTTCTTAGACAATACTATTTTTATCATTTTGAAGTCATAGTAGACACTCATGGATATATATATATATATATATATATATATATATATATATATATATATATATATATATATATGGAATTAAGAAAAGGATTATAAGACGAAGTAGAATAACAACAAGAATTTTTATTTGTTTCTTCACAGCTCTGCCTTTTAAATGATAATAATTTTATAAACAGTACATCTATGTGATAAAGAATTATAAACGTTCTTAGTTTTCATAATGATAATGATAACTATGAATATCGGTTTGATGAGCAAAATAAAATATTATTCTACCTCTTTTTTTAATGAAATATCTTTTTGGTATGCCTTTTAGAACCTCATCCATAAAAGTGACTAACGTTTAAGCACAATAACCTTCAGATTTCAAGTTATTTAGTTGCTCTACAATAATCAATTCAACCCAAAGCTCGTGAAAAGGATTAAAGGTGCACACTTAGAAAATTATCTTGTCGAAAATAATGTAAATACCTAGTTCTCTTTGACTTTGTTAGGCTCCTTATCCCATGATTTATTTTATTGTCAATCGGTAAATAAAAATTCTAAACTTTTGGCTTGGTAAAAGCATAATATACTGACGGCCTTGGGTTAACCAATAAGAATTAAAATAACTTCCAATCATATTTGGTTGTTAAAATATTTGAATTCAATGAAAACACCTATTGTACAACGATAAAGTAAATTTCAGATGATGCTTAAACTAAATTATATGACATACCTGCTTCTAAAGCAGATGGTGTGTCCAAGCACTTAATGACATTCATTACGTAATCAAGTGTTTAGTGAAGCTAAACAGTATTCTCTCCTCTCCACTCTCACTTTAAATCCCAACCCTGAGTTTAGCACGTCTGTAAACAGGAAGGTGGCAAGGCATTGTATTATAACTGATATTAGTTTGTCCTGAAAACCCTAAACTCAATTTGTTTTATAACTAGGCAGAATTTTCTGATTGGCCGATAAGTCGCCCGAGGTCTTCAGTATATTATACTTTTACCTTAGGCTTTTATATAAATGCTAATAGATTAAAAATACGCCATGATATAAAGTCTATCAGGTCATATAAAACAATTTTTGGGATTAGTATTACATTTTATTTTCAGTTGAAAGATAGAATATGGCCTCATTAAACCTTGTGTGTTCTCACTATGAATATTCTGCTTTGTGAACTTTGAAACATGCTTGGTGTTTCACATTTTATAAGCGACTGATACAGAGAAGAATTGTTTATTTGGGTGCTTTGCGAATAATCGATCAACTTAAAGGAAAGATTATTTAACAAACTGATATCCGCTATAGAACGATCGAAAATTGTATCATTATTTATGAGAAGTTGAGACCATGAGAACTGAAGTCCTATGTCTCACATGTTACTGCCTAACCACTTACTTATAATTCAGTAGTTTGCTCTAAATACTTTAGAAAATTCCCAATGATTGACGATTGCACAATAAGCAAGCTAGAAGTAACGTGACCATGCCAAAGCTCTAATAGTTTATATTCACCCCTGTATGAATACAAAGGCACTAGCTTCCAATAACTTAAGTGATAGGAAGAAACAGCTGTCGAGTAGCTACGGTTTTATAAACGGTGAACTTTAACTATGTCCACAAAAGTCAGATACATGCAAGGAGAGATTGCCTACTTGTGAGTAGTGTAAAATAGTCGACATAATTTTCTGTCAATAGATGAGCTAGGAGATATCTTGCAGAACACTAGTTTTTATCATATTCATTTAATGGTTTACTAGGTTTTCACTTTTAATTAAGGATCTATACTCATATTTATTGAACTTACAATATGAGTGACATAACTATCGTTAAAGAAACTGAACAGTGGCTTTTTGAGCTTCAATTAATTGAACATGAATCTATTTTACTTAACAGTTTCCGTAACGTTCATTATCAATGATCGTTCTGCCTACTAGTCTGTGCTTAATATACATACAGAGAAAATTTTTGATCTAGTTTACAGCTTTGACGCGATAGGTTACTAAGTCCAACCTTAAGTTTGACTGTAACAGATAGAAGAGCTGTTTTGTCACTAAACTATTACTTGATAAGTTGACAATCAGAGAGAGAGAAATTTACTTAGTTGGAACGGTAATCTGATTCTCTATTGCTTTCAATTCGATTACGACTCAAACTTATACAATAATATAAAGTAAAATCCTGATCACATATCAGTATAATTAAGAAATCATAATAAAAACATAACTACGCCCTAAGTGGAAGGGAATTTAGTTGTAGGTTCGTAGAAAATTTAATCCGTTGTTTTCGAGAATTTTCCGGAAGGCTTCTGTGCAATGTTGACTGATAGAAATATTCCAAGTACTCTACTTCCCTTTGAGAATCTTTCCAAATAATTATCGACGGTTCCCAAAATATATGAATTGTCAAATAAAAAGTCATAGATGAAAATGGTTGCATAGGAACCGATGGTTCTTCACTTGCTTTTGTCTCATCAACATATTACTAAAGTGTCAATCATATTTTAAAAAATAACTCAAAAACCAAGTAAATTTAAGCGATACCTGTTTCATCACTGTTTAGAAAACGCATAGCCATTAATTTCAAACACTATCATTGGTTCAAGAATATTTGTATACTAAATATCATACTCCTTATTTTCTACATATAAGATAAATAGTTGAAAAGACGTGTGCAAATAGTCATTCTAGGAAATGGAGAAAAAATTCTAAAAAAGGCGGGAGATAACAAGCAAACCATGTGAAGATTCAAAATGATCTGTTAACTCTATCAGCCGAAAAAATTGACAGAGGTGTTACGAATCTTCTTTGAACACACGTTGGGGTTGTATGCCCGAGTCCCTGTGTGTATACATAATCCAAATTGTTTCAGTTCGCAGTTTTTAGAACATGGCCATGTAGTAAGTTCTGTTGAACTTAAGGTGGCATCTTCGCCTAATCTTGCTGGCGTTGGTGTCGCATTAAGCGCTAGAGCTGAGGCAGCACCAATCGATTGTATCCTCATTAACAATCGGTTATGTGCTGTTATATTAGAAAGTTCCATCAGAGTGAGAAGAAATCGGCGTGAGAAACGACGTCTTTTCGTCTTCTCCGCCTATGCCCCGACAGATTGCAGCCCGGATGCAATCAAGGATGAATTCTATCACCAGTTAACCGTTCTTCTCCAGAAAGTGCTTTCGACAGATATTGTAGTACTATCCGGATACTTGAATGCTCAGGTCGGGCGTCTAGACACATAAGAGAGTCGTTTAGGTGGCCAATGGGGACTTGTTGGTAGCAGGACAGATAACGGGGAACGTCTACTGCAACTGTACACAGACCACAACCTGTTTCTGGCTAGCACTAACTTTCGGCACAGTCATCGCCGATGTACCACCTGGCGTCCTCCCTCTGCATCTCAAGCCTCTACTCAGATTGATCACATCGCGATCATCTACCGCTGGCGTGGTTGTGTACAAGACTGACGTTCTTTTCGAGTACCTAACTGGACTCTGATCATGCCCTGGTCTGCGCTAATCTTATCTTACTTTTCAGTGTCCAACGAATCGATCGTTATAAGCGGATCAGTGTCAGTAAATTGGTTGCAACTTCTGTTGCTAGTAAGTATCGAACAGAGCTAGCTTCTAGGATAGCTACCATCCCACCGAAAAGTATAGATGAGCATTGGTTGCAACTGCACAACGCCATGAAAATGGCGGGTCAAGTCAGTTGTGTATTCGCGAAACGTCCCGTTTATAAGCACCGGGTTTCTTCTGGTTCCTTACAACTCATTGAAGCCCGTCGGTCTACTCCGGATGCCCGTGAGTTTGACTACAAACGAAGACTGTTACGTAATGAAATTGGGCAAAGCCTTCTTAAGGACCGAGAAGCCTGGTGGTCGGAGCGTGCTAATGAGTTAGAAGCAGCAGCTGCATCTGGTAACTGCCGGAAGATCTTTTGACTCATCCGAGCCACTGGCAGCAGGAAGTCTGGTGTGGGTCAAACAATCTGCGAGAATGGTGGGATGCCAATCGCTAACATCCATCGACGTCTTGGACGATGAGCAGTTCAACTGGCCTGCTGCTCCGGCAACATCGGTCAGACTGTCCTGCCCTCCATAGCCGGTGAAGAATGATCCACCAAACGAGGCAGAAGTCCGCAAGGAACTCCAACTCTTGAAACGCTACAAATCACCAGGCCCAGATGACTTACCTCCAGCTCTTTTTAAAGATGGTGGTGACTTTCTGACTAAGGGACTGACGACGTTGCTTACCAAGGTCTGGGAACTAGAGAGTGTACCAACGTCATGGAATGAATCGATAGTTGTCCCTATCTTTAAAAAGGGTCCACGTCGTTCCTGTAACAACTATCGGGGGATAAGTCTACTTCCGATTATGTCCAAGCTATTGGCTTCCGTCATACCTCGTAGGTTGTTCAAAACCCGAGAAGGATTGACTCGCGAGGAGCAGGCTGGGTTTCGTTCTGGTCGAGGATGTATTGATCATATCTTCACCCTCCGCCAAGTGTTAGAACACCGTCATACTTATCAAAAGCCAACAATCGTAGTGTTTCTTGACATCAGGGCTGCCTTCGATTCGTTGGATACAACTGTTCTCTGGGATTGTCTATTGAAGAAGGGTGTGCCTGAAAAGTTTATTAACATCCTAAAAGCCCTATACACAAACACCTTAGGCAGAGTGAGGGCATACAACCACCTTTCTCCATTGTTCCATTCAAGCAGTGGGGTTAGGCAGGGTTGCCCAATCTCACCATTCCTCTTCAACTTTGCCATCGATGACATTCTGGAAACAGCTCTGATGGATGTAAGTAATGGCGGTGTGGATCTGTTGCCTGGAGAAAGACTTCTCGACCCTGAGTATGCTGATGATATTGTCTTACTGTGCGAGAATGCCCAAGCTATGCAATCCTCACTTAATCAGTTGGCAATCAATGTCCGTAGGTATGGTATGTGCTTTGCACCTTCGAAGTGCAAAGTACTTCTACAAGACTGGCAGAATTCTAATCCTGTACTCACTCTGGATGGTGATCAGATAAAAGTAGTCGAGAAGTTCGTGTATCTGGGTAGCTGCACAAGTGCTGGTGGTGGCGTGAGTGATGAGATCAATTCACATGTAGTGAAAGCCAGAGCGGCTTATGCCAATCTGCACCATCTTTGGCACCTTCGTGATGCTAGTCTGGCTGTAAAATGTCGGATCTACAACGCGTCAGTGAGAGCAGTTTTGCTCTATGCTTGTGAAATATGGCCTCTCCGAGTTGAGGATGTTAGACGACTCTGTCTGATCATCGTTGTCTCTGAAGGATTGCTGACATTCAGCGGCAACACCATGTTAGTAATGCAGAGGTTCGGCATCGTGTGTTCGGACGCAGAAACGATAATGCGATTGGTGTCACCATCTTGAAACACCGACTTCGGTGACTTGGACATTTTCTACGAATGTTGTCCCAGAGAATTCCACGTCGTGCATTATTTGCCGACTCTGGGACTGGTTAGAAAAAGAGGAGAGGTGGTCAGTATATGACATGGTGTCGTGGTATAAAAGAAAGCTGCAAAGGGCTTGCTTGTGTTGGTCCTTCACGACCCTCTGGCTGGGGCTGGTGCGACGCAGTGGCTAGAGACGTTATCACATATGGCTCAGAATAGAAGCCAGTGGCGATCCTGCTGTAACCTTCTTTGACTTTCTTCATAAAAAGTGGTTGTAACTTCCTTAACTGCAAGAATCCTTTCTGGTTGTTGTTATTACACTACCATGCACTGTGGTCGTCATTGTTCTCTTTTTTTCCTTTCTTCTCTCTTATACGCAACTTACGTTCCTTTTTCTCTTCCCATTCTCATTACTGTTGTGTGGCGCATATATATCTGGTGCCCCCCTTGTACCAATATTTATGTGTTCAAATAAATAAATAAAGTGGTTGAAATGGAATAAGAATCATACAGACATTTAACTTAAAGTTTAAATAAAGTCAAACTATGTAAGATAATTTAATGTAATCTGTGTAAAATTAGCTTTTTTTGAATAATTTATCAAAATCATGAGTATTTGTTAGTCAACCATATAGTGAATAATCAAAGCGTCAATACTCATTTTTCTATAATTTAAGTCAGTAAAAAATAACCTTAGAAAAACAAGTTATTTGATACTGTATGAAAATTTAGAAAGTTACACACTCCACATTTGGGCTATTGACTATTTATTGGGACTGAATTACAAGTACTAGGATGCCAATATCCTTGGAACTAGACTTACGGTTTTACCCTTTTGAATATCTCTTAATAATGATGACGTTGACGTATCAACGCTATGTCAACTATCAAGCAGATGGTGGACAAACTGTTGAAAATACGATATTTTGCCCATATTTATTTCGGAATGCGAGCAAGTACCATACCTTTTGTTTTTCCTATGTATACGCTCCAGTATGCAAATGTAAACTGGTGAACACGACTGGAAATAATGAGGTAGAGATTTGTCTGTCTCAATGGGCAATGCGTTTGATACAGGAAAACTAGTTTAGCGGCTAAATAGGTCATTCATTAAGTAGCACTTAGTGCAAAACCGATCTTGCCAGGTATTTTATTTATTGAGCCAAGTCGTAAAAGGACTAGGTTTTTCTCGACAGTATATTCCAAGTCTTTCGTTCCTGTTTTCCTAGTATTTCATTTCTGGGATAACTACAGTTTCAATTAATTAGCCACGTAACATCTTCTTTTATACTCTCAATTACAACTACAGTCTTGTGTCATTTTAGACTTTATCCACCTTACTCTATTAATCTACCCACTTCCAGAAATGTTGTTACGTAACTTTTGACATAAATGTTCATTCTGCGTGTTTTTGAAATGTTCGCACTAGAATTCCCACACTGATAGATGAAAACTTCGTTTTTAATCCTGCTTAAACCGCTACGATTAAACAGACAACATCCATCCAAGTGCTGAGCTTATTGAAGAAACAGCAGAAGTCTATAGACACCCTTAAGTGGTCAATCGCAAGTGAGACTACAATTTATGGACGACCTTTGAGCGACGCCAAAGTGACCTTGAGAGTGTTCACTCAATAACTAGGACCAAACGAAGGTTATGAACCAGCGTGAGGAACTAGAATTATGACTTACAATTGATGGTTAGGGTTGGGAATTAACTTTAGGATTTTCATCACGAACTGACATCAGCTATAATGCTAAAACTCTGTTTATCCAAATGGATGGGTGAATCTCGCGCCAAAATTTGAAACCTGTTATTTTATACGTGATTGGTTCGCCCATAAATTATAGTCTCGCCCAATCACAATACTGGCTACTTAATGCTTCAGCTAAAATCTATTTTGTCTTCAAGCTTTCTACCGATCTAGTCAAAATATTGTGATCAGAACCAGACCGAATACTGAAAAACGTTTTTGGCATTCAATGAAATGGTTTTAAGTTGTAATCTGAACACAGCACAACAACTAATTATCACCACTGGGAATGGTGGGTTTCTGCATGTGTTGTCTTCCATTGAATATGAAGTGATTTGTAGGCAAGTGGAATTTTTCGGAATCTTGAGTTTGTCAGATTATTTATAAAATAGTCTAATCCACAAATTGATAATGTGTTTTCAAATTCTCAGGAACTTATCATACACTTAAATTTATATTACAACTCTAAATATAAGTAGATTAACAGTTATTTGTTTTTCAGTGTATACTATTCGTTTAGCTAAATTTGACGTCTACATAAAATAATGAATAAGCATCTAACCGAATATAGATTGAATTGACCACTTACTGTATTCGTTTATATTCCCCTCAGCCTTCTGAGGTCTGAATAGCCTGGTAGTACTAGAAATACTCACACAATATGATCAATAACCTAGTACAAAAATCTCCAAGCAGTTCATGTTGAATTCTTGTTTGGATAACGCATATATAGCATTATCAAGTGAACGAAATAAATATGTAGAAATCATATAGATAATATATTTTCATTGAGGAGACATGATCAAAATAAACGAGAGCAGAAATAATGCTAGAGATGCAATCATATCTAGAACGATCATATCAAATTGATGTAAACGAAAAAATACCGCATATAACAGACGAAGTGACACTTTTGTGAACGGTTTTTTATTCCTTTAATTCCGGTTGTGCTAACTTGTAACTCTGTCAAGTCATTTATTTGGTTTGAGCCATCGCATTATCTTTTTAGTCCTTTCAGATGAGTATGTCCGGTTACTACTCTGTATACAATTATTCTATGGTTAATGTCTATTTAAAAACAATTTCCAAGACTGTTACCAATAATAGTATAGTTATAAGGTATTATAACAATAGTCTGAATGTTTAACTGTTCCTTGCATAGATGGTGTTAGTTGTCAAAAACAATATTACGGGAAAATATTTCGATAACATTATGATCCTTTTATGTAGCAATTATCAATAAAGCTATGGATAGGAATATACTAGCTTGGATCACGTTGAGTCTTAGGATAATTCATTGTGAAGTACTATAAAAGTACTAAGCAGCTTAAGAGAGCTGGAAGGTAGTAAGTCATTTGGAAACTTTATCAACCTGTTAACAGTGCAGTTACCAACTTCATGAACAGACGTCGTATATTAATTATGTTGAACAGTTTTAGCAACAGTTTAGCATCAGATACATATTAGATCACAAATCTCATGGATTGCTTCATGGAGAATAACACAACGTAGCCATGCAAATGTAGATTGATTATATTATGAAAAGCGTTCATCCAAAATTGTGCGAATAATTATTTATTTCAACTGAATATTTGGAACATATTATCAAGATTGAGTTATTTATATAATGAAAATCAAAATCAAACTATTTTTCCATAGCTAGCCAGATTACAGTGAAACAGTAAAAAAATACATTCAAAATAACTAATTGTATGGTGCCATAACCACAGATAATTGTAGGCAGAACTAGCACCGAATCGTGTCATAATTTTCACGGAACCATTTACAAGTATATTCAATAGCTGAAAAATACACAAGAACAATGGATAAAAAATAACTGAAGTAAACAAAATCTATTTAGAGTATCTTAAATTCTGTAAGTGTAAGTGAATAATATAAGGCGATAGTTGAGTTGTTACAGCACTTAATGATTGACTTTCAGGTGAAAACACATTCCCCCTATATTTAGGTTTACGTATCTGGCTAGTACTACCACTTCATTACTCAGTAAATGTGAATCAAAGACACAAATTCGAATTTGTATCTGGCTGTTCAGTTGCTTTAAAAATATTTTTTCTAGAATATTTTAATCTAGCCATGAACAAATAAGTTAGTACATGAGAAAAATCGATAAACTGTTGACGGCAAGTAAAAATGGTATAATAGAGAATTGAGTGTGTATTAGGATATCAAACATTAGCTATGTTGATTATTAGGTTGATCATGGGTCAATTATCTGTTCCTGCTTTTATACTTTTTTGGTCAAAAAGATTATAATCATACTATTCACATTGTTACATAGAGCACAGTAGAATTATCAAGTGAAAACAAATGGAATTCAGTAATTTGGATTGTCACAGCTTTTGGATATTTTAAAGATGATTACTAAGTATTGAACAAAGTGATAGAGTAATCTAGTAGTGTAAACACTGTTTGTGGTCATATTAGTATCAAATTAGTGTTTATTTCGGTTCAAATTGATGCCACGACTCACTTAACCAAAAAACAACAAAGATAAATTAGTTATTTGAAAGTATTTATAGATTTACATGACATTTACAAACATTAGTTTGGAAGCCCTTTTAAAATGAATATAGACGGCTAGGTTCAGACTATAGTGCAGTGAAAGAAATGTCAAAGATTTTAACAATGGTAAAAATATTGCGTAAAATCCGTATCTAAATGAGTACTTGGTGAAGAGCAAGCTCTAGTAAACAACCTCAAAAGTGGAAAATAATACAAACTTAGATAACAAACATTACATTTTAGACTTGATGAGACGGCGATTCCGACATGTCCTCATTCTACAAAAAATGATGCAAGCCTTTACGGATGAATGGCCTATCGGAACATCTCACGACTGAGTACAAAACTATATATATATATATCTTTTAATAAATTCTTACCTGATAAAATAAACGGATTCATAGTAAATATTCAAAAAACAGTATGTGTGTAGAAAGTTTAACTCACCCTGTTCAAAAGGAGTGAACTTAAAATCAGGATAAAGTTGGCGAAGTTTCGATGCATTAGCAGTTTTCTTAAACTGTCCATCCGCTTTAGTTGTGTCAAACTTGATATTAGATTTTCGTCAAGGGGTTTTAAATTGTCATAGGTACACAAGAATAAGAAATCAAGCAAAATTGACAGTGTTTATTTTACTCATCTACAAGTATTCTCATAAAAAGTTTGAGAAACTGAAAATTTCACTGGAAAAAGGAAGTCATTACTCGGTTATAATACTATAGTCTGTTCACAATATAGATTGTATTATTCATATGCTATGATCTATGTATAAGTCTTAGAAATAGGATACATGTACTACTGTAAACATTAGACAATTATGATTAGAAAAATGTAACGCCTTGTGAAAGCAGATATGGTATTAATAATAAGGGTCAAGACAACTTGAAATAAGATTAATGATGCGCAAAATTAGTAATAGCTCCCGAAAAGCTATACAACAAACGATGATATTTTTTAAAAATTTAGGAGACAACTCAAATTATGATTATAATTCAGTTTGGTTTGAATGAGTACCTGTGGAAACAGAAGAGGCCCTATCTCTAAACCGTTAGAAGCATCATTTGTAAAGATGTTTTTTATGGAGTTACTTCTGTACTTCATGTAACACGTAGACAGCTGATAAATCTATCAAAAGAGAGAAATGCTGTTTATTAAGTCAACAGAAAGGTAATATGAGAAAATTTACCGAGCTAACGCGTTGACTGATAAATAAGGAATATATTAAACGAAAATTTGAAAAGGATACAACGAGTTTAGGACAATCCATTGCCTTGGCTACTGCTTCGGCAGCTTGACGGATCGAAATTTCATCACTTTCGGGTACAGAAAGTATGATTGGAGAAGAATCATTGTACTCCCGTAAAGCCCATATGATGAGATGACCCAAGTCAACAGAATAAATAAACTGACGCAATGGCTTACCAGAACCCCAAACAGTTAAAGGTTCGCCATTCTCTAAGCATATATATATAGAGAGAGATATATACCATTTTAGGATAACAAAAGTTTACGTACTCAGTATATATAATCAAAACTAGTATATGCATTCCAGCGAATCTAAGCACGATTGATAAGTGCTTAAATAGATCAGAATATAAGGAGGATAAGTCCAGTGACAAATGATCCACGAAGAGATAAATTAAAATGATGTTGGGAACACAAACTTCTAAAGTATCTTTTTATCATAACGTCATATATTTGAGGTGTAGAAACATAAGTGCTGTCTCTGAGGACTCATTACAATACGAAACTAAACATTAACATACTGCACACGATGAATTAGAGCTATGTTTTAGATTATTTGCTCAAGACATTTTGTATTATGACTCTTTGAATTTCAAACCCCTTTATGAACTTTCGGCAGAATTTTTTATTTGATTAAACTAAGTGTTCACCCACCAAAATTTTATGAAATTTCCTCCATGTTGCTAAACATTTAGAAATATTCTTGCGCATAAATTAAACAAATCAATTAGCTCAAATATTTTTAAACCACATAATTTTTATAATCTAATCAACGATGGTGGCTTTAAGAGCGAACAAACGAAAAGTCAGTATTAAAACAGTAAATTAGATCTAAAGGCAATTAAACAAAACTAGATACATTACTTTTAGCCAAGTATGCTTTATGAATAAGACCAGGAAGAACGTGTCCTTGATTAATATCAAAGTTATCAAATGGACCAAATACATTGGTAGGTATAATAGACGTATAAAGAACACCAAAAGTCTCGCTATACCCTCTGAAACGATGAAAAAACAGAAAGGAAAAACTTCGACAACAATTTAGACAACTGAACACATGTATAGAAGAGCCAATACCAAAAAATCTAGTAGCACTAGTCTCTTTTCCCAGAAAAACAAGACAAAATACGAACACTAAAATTCATTTTAAATATAAGGACACGAGTTTTGAAGATAATACACCAAATTAATGAAATTAAAACTTGATTGCCAGACTTAATTTATATACTATTTGGCACTTTGAGTTTATAAGCCATTATAAAGTTGTCTAACAACCGATTATTCAAAACTAACAACTGATTTTACTTTTCATCAACATGTAAAAGTCATTAAACATTCTTGGGGTAGTCCATTCAATATCTAAATAACTTCAATAAAAGGAGGTTGATAACATAAAACAAAATAACTCTAGTTAAATAGCGTGCCTTCTGAAGACTAAAAGAGAAAGGTGGGTTTACCTATTCATTACATCAATCATGCGTTTAGCATAAGAATATCCATAATTAGAATCATGTGGAGGTCCATTATGTACCATAGTTTCGTCGATTGGATAAGTTGTACGATCAGGAAATATACACGTTGAAAGACATGAAATAACTTTCTTTACACCAACTGCATGACTACTTGATAATACATTGTCATTAATATGCATGTTTTGGCGCTAAAAAGAAAGTAATAAGGGATTAAAACTAATATATAAACAGGATAAGAGGGTTATATGTAGGATGAAGACTTTTACAACGTGTAGAGACCTGCCATTATAGATAAACGTTTTGGAAAGCCACAGAGATAACAATTTTGTTACAAATGGAAAGAGATGCTGGAAAATCCTATGTCAAGTAATTGGTGATTATACTTTTAAATAAGTACTGCTTTTTATAAATAGTTGACTGAGTCAAGGCTACCGGTATTTTTCAGTTAAAAGACCATGGAGTTTGACACCTTTACTCCCCGTGAATGAATAATTTGGCATATATATATCCACGAATGACGTGTGTTGGTAAAAACCAATAGAAATTTCTGAATCCGTCGGAAATCAACTTATCAGATCTGATGAGATTTCCAAAATAAGTGAAGTCGTCGACGTACTCAACTACTTCATTCTATATCCATAGTTGAGTTGATGCAGATCAGTTCTGAGGCAATATTCTGTGTCTAAAGAAAGAAAACCGAAACCCCCCTCCAAAAAAATACTTGCATTGCAGTTTGAGGCTTTCAGAAGACTATTATAGGAGCGTCTTAACAAACTAGGACCACATCATCTGCGTAAGTCAACACTTAAATCTCTTGGTAAAGCAATTCCTGCGAAGTCAGATGAGGGGGCTGTCCACAAAAGAATACCTATGACAAAGTTAGGTAAATATGGAGAAGACGGATAACCCTGATGAACACTACTCGATATCGTCAGTTCTGATGACAGTTCGCCATCGGCTCTGACTCGACAACCACTGTTTAAGTAGAGAGCCTGTATGATGTTGATGTACTCCTTTGGTATACCTTCAATGGCAGATACTGCCATAAAACTTGTCGATCTATTGAGTCAAAAATTGACTTGAGGTCAAGAAATATAACTATAGTTGGGAGTCAGTAGGTAAGTCTATGTTTAAAATCAGACGAACCGGGAATGTCTGGTCTACACAACAACATCCAAGTCTGAAACTAGCCTGATTTATCAATGTTCTCTCTCCACGAATACTAGTTAAACATCGGGTAACTGATGAGGCTAACATCTGAGACACATTATTATTTATTTATTTTAACACATAGGTATTGGTACAAGGAGGCACCAAATATATATGCGCCACACAAATCTCATTTGATTTGTGTGAGAGCTGTGATACTGCCCGGGTTCGCAAACCGAAGCAGGTGGTTTTCTTAGGAGGCCACACCCCGAGCCTTCGATCTGACCCACAAGGGAGTGGAGCATCGTTAGGAGATGCAGTCCCGTGGTAGCCAGTGACCAACGATTGGTTCATACGCCATTTGTTCCTTCAAGATACTGGAGCCCATGTGCACCATTGGTTTGGGATCCGGTTAAAGCGCCGGAAATTCGCTTTTCGTCCTCTCATTTTTGTAAACAACACCCCCGCCACGAGAAGGCAGTGAGTAGGACTTCCCTGGCAGAGGCTATATACGCGTGGCCATGTGAGAGCATTTCGAGAGGGAGAGCGGACTCTCCCCACTCTCGGCCGTACCAGGGCATTCGGGGGCACGTTTCTCGGCTCTGACAGATAATGGGTGGACGTGGTAAAGTCTCGTGCTAAGGCTAAAACGCGATCAGCCCGTGCTGGTTTGCAGTTCCCAGTTGGTCGTGTCCATCGCCTTCTTCGCAAGGGTAACTACGCAGAACGTGTCGGAGCTAGTGCCCCTGTTTATTTGGCAGCTGTCCTCGAATACCTGGCGGCTGAAGTTCTTGAGTTGGCTGGCAATGCCGCTCGTGACAACATTTGAGACACTACATTGATCAAACCGATACCTTTGTGGCCATCGCAAGATTTTTGTTTTTTCTTACAGGCTGGAAAAAGCAGCAAAGATCAGACAGATGGAATTACATTTGGTTACTAGACTTTAGCTAATTTCGCTGTCAATCTATCTGCTAAAACTAGACCACAATCTTCAGAGACCTATTTGGCAAGCCTCTGCCTTGATAAAAATAGACAACTGAAGGGGGTAGTTGAATATCAATTGAACTGCTCTTCAGCGTGTTCTGCCAATCGTTTCAATCTACTGGGTTAAAAGCCTCACCTTTTTTCAAAACAGTATCGCTAGCTGTCTGACTTTTAATACCTAATTCTCCGATAAATCTGAAGTTCGCTTGAGTATATCCAAAAAGAACTATATTTCTTCATTTTAATCACTACTGTCATTTCCTTCTCAATCAAGCTTCGAGATGTTATATTTTATGTAGTGAGTCAATGACAACTAATCAGGGCTTTAAAAATGGTTTACTACAGTACTTTTACCATTATTGCGAATAAGTAAATTTACTTTAACTTACAAAGAATTCAAGATTGTCAGACATATTGGCAAACAAACCGCCAACCTTGGCAGCTAAGTGAATCACGTAGGTTGGCCGCATGTGTTCAAAATACGCCCGAGTAGCATTACTATCCGTCAGATTAACATCTTTAGAAGATAAAAATATCCACTTTTCATTATTTCGTTTGAGGGGACCGTTAATGTTCTCTAGAGCTAGTCGGATCCCGTTTCCCACTAAACCAGAACCCCCTGTAACCAACACAGTAGTTTCCATATTTTGAGTTTATAGTGTTATGGATGAGACCAGGTGTGTTCTAAGGTGACGATTTAACAGTATCTAGAACTTGGATAGGTCAGCTTTGGTAAGTATTCTGTAGGACATATAGGCCCACTGAAAGGAAGAAAAGATAAACTCAGGCTAATTAAACGATAAAAATGTTTTGGATAAGCTCAATTTGCAATGTAAATAACATTAGTTAAATAAATATGGAAATCTAATTTCAAAACAAACTACATTTCCACAAGATTCGACGAGCAAAACCACTCTTTTACAGCGAAAAAAAATGTAGTCGTTTACTGCATAATTCTAGACAAGTAAACAAGGACTTATTTGTGTCGTCGGGTTTCTACAGGACCTGTCAGCTGAAAAGCATAGAGAAAGCTACTTGGTTTAATCAAGTTGAAATGAGAGCTTCCAGATACATATAGCACTTGTTTTCTAAGAACTCACAGGAACTGGTTAGTAAGGCTAAATCGAAAATTAAACGGAATAAGCTAGTCAAATCACTACCGGATGGTGTTTTGAGAATGTAACAATACCCAAAATCTTTGACGAGCTAGTACAAACCAACTAATTTTTTTTCGTCGGTTTCTTGATGTCATATTGCGGTTTCAGGTTATGGGCAGGACCAAATGATGTTTATATAATCATACAACTGCAATAGTTCAAGTGATCCCAAGCAAACAAAAAAGAGGAAATAAATGTGAACTTTGGGGAAGTTTTGGGAAAAATCAGTTTCAGTTTGGAAAGGACAGGAGGCTTGATGGTCTGTGTTAGTCCTGGCAATTTTGTTCTCTCAGTTGATCCAACTTTCTTTTGAAAAAATCTACAGATAGAGCTTCAACCACGTGTTGAGGTAATGAATTCCACTTGTTGATGATTCGGTGAGAAAGTCGATAATCAGCTGACAAGTAATTCGTTCTGGGCTTGTGAACTTTTTTGGAGTGTCCTCGTAAATTCTGTTTTGGAAGACAGGAAAAATGAGGGCATATCAGGTGCTTAAATGTCGTCGTGAATACAGGCGAAAATGCATCGAAATGTCACCGTTTTTACAGACCGTAGTAAGCAGTGCATATTTTCCCTGAAATTTCTCCAATGAGGAGGAATGTCTCCAAATTAACACTCTTATGTTCCTGAAAATGACTACTATTCCTCAAAAAACATACACCGATTGTATAATCCACTCAGCGTTCAGAAGACCTTCTGTACTGAAGATTAATGTGAAGACAAACAAACAAGAGAAAATAATATGGAACACGAGAGAAGTAACTGGGACATTGTTTAGGAAGAGAAGGGGGAAGATAAGAGAGAACATGATGAAGTGTCCTTTGTTGCCTACCACAAGAAAATAGTGGAACTTTTTCGCACATGCCTGCTTAGAGAGAAAAAAAACGCATTGAATTTCTTTCCAAATAACCTAATTTAAGCAAAACTTAACGCTAAATTGTCGAGGATACCAATATCTCAATCTTTGGTTTACTTAGTTTATTGGCAGTGTATTTACCAAAGACTGTAAAATCGAATTTGCATGTGAACTCATGACCAAGTTTCAATGTTGCCGGACAGATTCATAGTGTATCATGTCTACGCAACTGGCAAAAACCATACCCTCCACCAGACCTTGAGTGACGCTGAAAATGACATTTTCAATATCTAACATCCGTGGGACGAGCTAATATTTGCCGATTGATTTATTTGAACTTGCTTATAATGTTTTGCAGGGCTTTTGCGCATTTGGTAATGATTAAAAATCGAAATTTTTTGCTGAGCATGCACAATGAAAGTCAATCAAATCTGAAATGTAATCCCCTATTATAACACGTAAATTTAATGATTTTTGTAACCACTACAAAAAATACGACATCTTACCCTTTTTGTTTATATTGAGTGTGCAACCACACTATATTTAATATCTATGGTTCATATCCTCGAAAGCGCATCAGCTTGCTCCAGTAAAGCTAAAATTGGTTAGACACAAGTCAAATCATATGGTGGATTTATGGATAATCCGGCCATTTAACAGCCCGTGATCATCTCCGTTACATATGGTTGCAAAAAAGGACAATGTTGATTGGTGTCCAGCTATCGGTTGTTGACTAATTGATATGAAAACCACTCTCGATCGCTACCAATTACATAACGTTCATGAGCTTGAAGAAAATCACCACATTCTCAAAAATTGATTTGACTATGGCATGCAACCATACCACAAGGCATGCTAACGATATTCTTATCAATCTCTCAGGTTTGGGGAAATTTTGGAGAAACTTTCCAAGTAAAATGACCTTGACCAAAGTTAAAGGGGAATTTCGGGGAAATCTTGGAGTTTCGGTGCCATTTCCCCAAAATTTCCCCGAAGTTTACTATAGCGGCTACCCAAAATGGGTCAAATTTTCCCCGAAATTGGGAGCTCGGGCTATAATCTCTGATATCACTTCGGGCTCTATGAACTTTGCGTACACCTTTCCTTATACGTGTAGCGGTAAATAATTCCCCAAAATCAAATAGCTCTGTAAGTTTTCGACATTGGATGCTGACCACAGTTTTAGTGGACTCATCTAGCTGAAGGCGCTCGGTCAAGCATCCGCACCAGATCACGTGTGGGAACGCCGCGCTCAACATCTGTCACAATCGCTAGCCAGATTAGTGCAAACGATCCTCGATATATTGATAGCTTATCAAATATATCTCCGATCTCCTCGCTTCTGTCTTTTGATTTTACTTGGTGGGTGCGCTTCGTATTAGAAGGTGTTACTGGTTAAAGCGTTGTCAAACTCCGAATACCTGTGGCATCTTCATTGGCGAGCCCGACGTGATCTGGTACACCAAATTGCAAACTGTGAGTCTGTTCCTTTTTGTGATTTTATATATCATTGTCTTATTTTTATTTCTTTTTTACATTGTGATATTTTTTTCCGTGTTTTCGGGTTCATATATATATTTGCCACCCGTTCACTTTTCGTACTTGGTATATTACTATGACTGAACAGACCCCTAAAGTATTTAAGTTAAAGACTGTGTCCCCACCCTCTTTCCAACTTATGCCTTTCTGGCCAGACAACATCGAAGCCTGGTTTTGTCATGCAGAAGCCGACTTCTACGAGCACGGTGTGAACGATGCACGTGCACAATTCCTCGCAGTAGTCAAGGCACTACCGCGCGAATTTAACAGGTACGTAACACCTAGTATGTTTACTAGTGATGTTTCTGATCCATACCAAGCACTGAAACAGGCCACACTTAAACGCGGAGATCTAACCGATCGACAAAGGTTAGACCAACTCCTTAACAACATGGACCTGCAACACGGTTCTGCCACAGACATGTTGCAAAGAATGCGAGAAGTCATTGGCCAAAGAACCTTCGATGACGGCCTATACAAGCAACTTTTCTTATCCAAACTTCCTCAACAGGTGCAAGCTGTTTTGGTCTCGTTCCAAAACAACGCCGTAGACGAACTAGCGGCATCTGCCGATCGCATTCTCGAGATCACTAGGTCTTTTAACGCCGAGGTTTTTTCAGTCAAAGAAAAGCCTCAAACGACCCAGAATGACATAACACAGTTATGTCATACACTTACGCGCTATCTCAAACTCGGTAACGACCGTAAACGATCACTTACTCCGCGGAGAAGCACATCACGTAGGCGATCCGTATCTAGAACTCGAGAGACGGATAATCCTGATTGATGCTGGTACCATAACCAGTACGGAAAGTCTGCCAGAAATTGCAGAAAACCCTGCAATTTCCTCAACGCGAAATCCGTCGACGCGAAGAACGTTTCGGGAAACTTCCAAGCCGGCACGCGTTAACGGCGACCGTAGCCGGCGAACATAGCCGTCTTTTATATGTCACTGATGTGATAACGAGAGTTCGCTACCTCGTAGATGCTGGCGCAGAGGTTAGCGTTCTCCCAGCGAATTCCGACGACAGGCTACACGAGCCTGTTTTAAATCTACAGGCGGCAGACGGAAAGCCTATCGCTACTTATGGCCAAAGGTATGTTTATCTTAACGTGGGTTTACGCAAACCCATTCACTGGATTTTTGTTGTTGCAGATGTTTCTATGCCAATCATAGGTATGGACCTTCTACAACACCACAACTTAATTATCGATACGCGCAAACGGAGGTTAGTAGACGGAAACACTAATTTATCTGTTTGCCTGACTTCTTTTTCTGGTTGCAGGTTATACCCAGTCACTATTAAGCACACCATAGACCCCTTCTACCAACCACTAATTGATAAATATTCTGGCATTTACCAATCGCAACCGAAATTGCCGTGTGTAACCAGCAATGTTACACATCACATCACGACTACAGGACCACCTGTCTTCTCGAAAGCACGCCGACTGGCCCCCGAGAATTTAAGGTTGGCGAATAACGAATTCGACCATATGATAAACTTAGGAATCATACGACCGTCAAATAGCCTATGGGCATCTCCGTTGCACATGGTCCCTAAAAAGGACAGCAACGATTGGAGTCCAACTGGTGACTATCGGAGATTGAATGCAAAAACCATTCCCGATCGTTACCCGTTGCCTCACATTCACGATTTGAGAGCTACCTTGAAAGGTGCAACTGTCTTTTCAAAAATTGACTTGGTAAAAGCTTATAACCAAATTCCTATGGCCACTGAAGACATTCCAAAAACCGCTATTATAACGCCCTTCGGACTCTATGAATTTTTGCGAATGCCTTTCGGTCTGAGAAACGCGGCACAGACTTTCCAAAGGTTCATAGATGACGTTTTTCGAGGTCTCAACTTCGTACATGCATACGTTGATGACTGTCTAATAGCAAGTCCGGACAGAGAATCACATCTCCAGCATCTGGACATTGTTTTCGACCGACTACAAAAGCATGGCATTACCGCAAACATTCAGAAATGCCAAATCGGAACCGAATCCTTAGACTTCTTAGGACACACTATAGATGCGCATGGCATTCGACCCCTTAGAACGAAAGTGGCGGCCATTCTGGATTACCCAGAACCGACCACCATCAAGCAATTGCGCACGTTTAACGGTCTGGTAAGTTTTTATAGACGATTCATACCGAAATGCGCGTTACTTATGAAACCCCTTACCGACCAACTTCGTGGAAATGCGGAATCCATTAATCTAGATGACACTACCCGAAAAGCATTCCCCACGGTTAAGGAACATATCGCCCGAGCAGCAATGCTTGCTCATCAGGACCCTAAAGCGCCCATTAGCATCTCAGTAGACGCATCCGACTCAGCAATCGGAGCAGTCTTACAACAGTGGGTTAACCACTCCTGGCAACCTTTGGCATTTTTCTCTAGACGGTTGCTAGACACTGAATCGAGGTACAGCACATTCGGTAGGGAACTCCTAGCTATGTATTGTGCTGTCCGGCATTTTCAACACTATATCGAAGGCCGTGAATTTATCATTTTTACCGACCATAAACCACTTACCTTCTCCTTAAGCTCTTCTTCGGACAAGTACTCACCACGTGAGTCTCGACAACTGGACTACATTTCGCAGTTTACTTCAGATATTCGACACACTTCTGGAGCAAACAATGTAGTTGCAGACGCCTTGTCTCGTATAAATTCCTTGAACAGTTCCCAAGGAATCGACCTTTTAAAACTCGCCCAACTTCAAAAAGAAGACAGTGATCTTCAGCACGAGTTGGCCTCAACAACACTTAAACTGTGCATTAAACAGATGGGAACAGGTAAGGAAACCTTACTTTGTGACACATCTAAAGCTAGGGATCGCCCAATCGTGCCGAAACAATATCGACGCAACGTCTTTGATACGTTGCACAGACTTTCTCATCCAGGTGTTCGTGCAACCATCAAGCTTATAGCAGAACGGTTTTGCTGGCCTGGTATGAATAAAGATGTGAGGGAGTGGGCACGCTCCTGTGTAAGCTGCCAGAAATCTAAGGTTATTAGGCATAACAAATGTCCCTTAGGCTCGTTTAAAACTCCCGATGCTCGCTTCGATCATGTTCATTTGGATTTGGTAGGACCTTTACCAGATTCAAATGGATATTCTTATCTTTTAGCATGCGTAGACCGTTTTACTCGATGGCCAGAAGCAGTACCCATCAGAGATATTACTGCTGAAACAGTGGCCCGCGCCTTCGTCGAGACGTGGGTAGCAAACTTCGGCTGCCCAACAACTATCAATACAGATCTTGGACGTCAGTTTGAATCTGAACTGTTCCGTTGTCTGACCATGAAACTAGGAATCACTCGCTTTCGAACGACGGCCTACCACCCACAAGCAAACGGATTAGTAGAACATTTTCACCGACAACTAAAAGCGTCACTATCAGCCTCAAACATTTCTCAGTGGACTGACGCTCTTCCACTCGTCTTACTAGGCATACGCAATGCAGTGAAATCTGACATTGGATACACTGCATCTCAACTCGTTTATTGTACGACCCTTCGACTTCCAGGAGAGTTCGTAGACCCTTCATCCTCTTCGATGGGCATGGATCTAACCTCCTACGCGAACAGGCTTACAAACGCAATGCGTTCAGTTAAACCTGTTTCCACTCGATCACAATCAACTGATGTTTTCGTTCAACCTGACTTACGACATAGTACACACGTTTTCGTGCGTCGAGACTCGCATCGACGACCTCTCGAATCAACATATGAAGGACCTTTCAAAGTTCTTCAACGCGAATCTAAGTACTATATAAT